AAGTTTTGTCATATTTCCCTTCACAGGTTTCATCAATTGGAATACGTGTTGGAAGCAATTTTCGACATTTAACATAATGAGTGCGACAAAAACAGGTATCCCCTCCGCAGCAGCCGCATAGGCTTCAAGTTCGTCCTTATGTGTTAGCATTCCAGTTTTTAGTTATAGTTCATTGCTTGGAACAGAGAGATAACGGTATAATGAGGTAAAAAATGTGACAGTGAAAACAAGCCCGAGTTCGTTTTTGTCATCTTTTTCGTCAATTTGACATTTTATGAAACTTGTATTTTAATGTACTATTTCGCGACATAATTTTTCCGAAACTTATGTTCGATATAGGGCAATCCAAACAAAATGGCGGTCAATGCCAAAAAATTGGCGCCATAAATTTAATTCAAACAACTGTGACATTTTTCATCAAAAAACAGTTTTTTCTACAGACGTCAAAAAATGATGACATTTTCACACTCATTTCCGTTCGAAAAATGTCACATTGGTTTTATTTACCTTAACGACGTGCACGAAATATTTCGCGCACTAGGGCACGAAAGACTTCGTGCACGCTCAGTGGTGATATTTCAAAAATACATAACTGGATGAAAAGTTAACTCATATTTTCTGGGGTACCTACCCACTTAAATTGAATACGATCAGGATATTGAACTTTTTTGATTCACCCTCGAAATATATTAGAATTACGGTTTCACTCACTTTTTTGACGGTTCTGTGCGAACATCATCATGTTTTGATTTTTCGGGTAAGAGGTTTGCTGCAATTGCTAAACTAGCGGTATTATTATATTGGTTATACAACTCACTGTACATTATTCCCATATGACACGAGAGGCTTAATAAAGTGATAAGCCTTTTGGGATTATCGCGCTTGGTGGCATTTATGGCGAATTCTATTATAGACATTTTTTAAAATGTTAAAGTATTAAAGTTTAGTTCGTTGTATAACCTTTTGAATACTACTCGATGTTTCAGGATTACCTAATTCTTTTACCTGACACTCAACGCGTTACCAGCAACACCACTCCTCCTTCGGAGTCGTGGTGTTGCTGCGTAACGCGTTTCGTGACAGGTAAAGGTATTATCCGATAATCCTGAAACCTCTTGTGGTATTACATTCGAGAATCACAAATTCTTCTACAATTTCTATTTCTAATCAACATTTTTTGCCAAAATGATGCCGCATCGGTCAGACCTTGGGAAAAAACTTTGACAAGCAGTGTGTCATGGTGTGTCATTTATTAAATTTTTTTTCCGTAGCAACCGTTTAACAGGCTGTTCTGAAATAGAATTTCCTTGAATTATTTGATTTTGATATTACCCAAAATTATTCCAATTCTGTCTGTAGAAAAAACGTTGTTTGCAACTCGTGCGCGAAATGTTTTTGGTGAACTCGAACGATTTTTTGACTCCGCTTCGCGTCGTTAAAAAACTTTCGTTCTCGTTCACCAAAATGGCATTTCGCGCACTAGATACAAAAATAACTATTTTGTGTATTTTGTGGTGTTTTAACATGATTTTCTAGTGCTTGAAAGGATTATTTTCGTATTTTAAGATCCCAACAAATACAATTACATACCAAAGACGTACATAAGGTGTAACGTTATGACATACTGTACGTTCGTAAGACGTCGATTTTAGAGCCAAGTACGTCTTGAAGACGTAATGGGCAAGTCGTATGTCACCTCCATAATACGCTTTGAAAGACGTACAACTTAGAGCCATAAAGAACGTTCATAATACTTCTTGAAGACCTAATTAAGTACATATTGCAAACCAAATAAAAGAGGAATTTTTTACTCAAATCGTTTATTATTTATTCGCTATTAGCTTACTAAACCTGGAATAACAACAAAAGAAAAACATTAATTCAAAAGTATTGCAACTATACCTACATAAATAAAGCATAACCTAAAAGAACTGCAACAACATTCTGTTAAGGATTGATTGGGTTGGGACTCTGGTAAAACTAATTAGCACAACACTGTTTCACTGAACTGACTGAACTTATATTGACACACAAAAAAAAGCCCTATTTTTGCACTAAATATTGTTTATAAAATCCCCTAAAAGTAATTAGCTGTTGCATTTTTGGTTTTTAGCATCTATAAATGATCCTTAACAATACTGCATCGATAGATTGCTGTTAAATTTTATGTAACGAAAAAATTTATCTGCCCTGGCCTATTTATTTATTAAAATTGGGAATATTCTGTCTATAACAACTTGAAAGTTATATATTCCATTTTGTGCAATGGCAATAAATGAATAATTAATTTCATTAAACTAAACACCTTTCCAAAGTTCCTGTTCCAACGACTAACTTTCAACAAAACAAAAATAAAGAAATATAACCTCAATTTAGAAATTATTAACGTCAAAAATTCAAAAAATGCGTACGTAAAATAAACTAAATAAATATGCCTGCTGGCCGTACGACAATGAACCACGTGCTTGGCGTTCAGCAGCAGCACCGAACAATACGATAGTTCGGTTAGTGTTCAAAATTGGGTTTGTGCGCATTTGACGTCACCGTACTCTTTACTCTTGACGCGGACTCTACACATACTACGATTCATGACGTCATAGTTACCCAAATAACAGCTGGAGAGTATTTGACAAAGGGTCCAAAAGAGGACGCCATGATCGTTGTTTATTTGGGTTTGTTGAATTTTCAAAATTTTGCGTTTTCGAGTTTCAATACTCTTTCTCCAGTGAAGATATTCGAATATTTTCGATAGATTGTGGTATTTTTGAATTTTATGGGGACCCCATGCCAAAAAATAAATAAAATTACACTTTTGTGCACAAGTGAAGATTTTTTTTTTGCAAAAAACCTCTAATAAAATCACAGAAAACCATGGCAAAATGGGAAAAAACAATCCTCTATTTATAATGAAAAGAACTGTGTCGGTAATCGTAGTCAGCTGTTTTGCCCATATGCTCATTTTTGTGTATTAGAAAAAGATGCACTGACATACTACAACCAGTAACTATCCCTCGTAGGATGGTTACGTTACATGTTTACAGCCGAGTTTTATGTTGTGACGTCATAGTATGTCAGCCATGATCGCTAAAATTTACTATCCCAAGTAAATACAACTTTTTTTTTTTACTACTGGATTAAAACTCTCGCTAAAATACGCCTTTTAGTTAATCACGTCGGCAATGGTAATACACCAATAGGGCGGGGATTACCAAAAACGACGCCGATAAACGAGAGCAATCCTTTATAGTAGTATATAATTATCCTTGGTTTAAAGTGAGGTAAAAACCTGACTACGTGTCAGTGAAAACAATACTTTTTCAAATTACATCGGAGTCACACGAGCTCTAGAAGGAGCAGGTGCGGAACTGATTGCACTCGGGGCAAAAAGTGTCGCGCCAATTTTTCAACGGAACCCAAAAACCACTGAAATTACGAATAGTCCTTTTCACGAGGCTCGGGTTTAAACCAACCGGGCATAGTTCCCTTGCAGGTCGGTTATTTAATGAAAAAATTAGAATAATAAAAATAGGTAAACGATAGCTTAATATGTAACCGGGTTACTAAACGGTTAGTAGCGGTATGTCAAGTGATGACGTCATTGGAAATGCCACTTGAAAACGAACGGTTAGAAAAATGTTTTTTTTTTAAATTAGGCAATCCAACTACCTGTTGATATTTATAATAGGTTGATGTACTCTTTAGTAATTGCACCAAAATTTCAAGTGTATTTAAAAAAAAATGTCCCTATTATTTATTTTAACTTTAAAGCTGGAGTTCCATGCATCCGTTTTTCCGACGAAAAATGTCCGAAAAACATTCTATTCTGACATAATCGTATGAAAATATGTCAAAATAGAAGATTTTTCGGACATATTTCGTCGGAAAACGGATGCATGAAAATCCGGCCTAATTCCTTCCATGTTTGTCAATTGATTAGGTAGGTAGAAACTTTAAAATCAAAACACGTAACTTTTTATTTAAGTTTACACCTGTCACAATTTTCCCGCCAGCTTATTCTGTAACTTGCAACCACAAAGAATTGCGAAATTGTCGCTGTCAAGTCGCTGTCAAACGCGAGTTTTCTATTATAAAAAAGCAACTGCGACGCGGTTGCTGGCTGCTATGTATTTGCTGTTTATAGAGAATAGAGGCCTGCCGGTGACCACCACATAACTTACCAAGCTCCAAGGTTTCTATAGTTAACAGGTTGTCTGGTAATGGATAACTTGAAAACGCATCTAGGGTGCCTTATGGAGATTTGCATTATGTTCAGCAGGCATACAGATGACGTCATAAAAGTTATCAGGCAACCTACCTCTCCCAAACAACCTTGACCAAGCTCTATCTTTTGTCATGGCAATGGATTTGAAATTGACAGTCGCTTCCGGTTTGACCAGAAGTGTCATCAACTTATTTATTTCAAATGGATCACACCTACGATAAATTCTAAGCATAGGTACCTATTTTATGAATAAAGTCCTATTCAACTTTAACAGTTTTCGAGATAATCGCGATTAAAAATGACAAAACAACGATATTTTCAACTTCTTTTAGATAATAGCACTGAAAAGTGCTACCACAAAAGTTTCACTTCACGATTCAATCGAAAGTTTTCGGAGGATCCAAATTTGAGATATTTAACATTTAAAAACACCAAAATATCTCAAAAACAATACACTTTAGTAGTAGGTAGGCAAAATTTCAAATCGATTTCCATGCTTAAGTTAAGATAGAACTTGGTAAAAAGTAAGTTGATAAGTTACCCAACAGATTCAGAAATGAAAATCGTTTACAGTCGACCAAATAAGTAAAGTCCCACAAATAAATAAAATTAACAACTAACTCAAACTAACCTCCAGGACGTTTGATAAGTAGGTAATCTCGCGAGTCGTGCCTGCAAGGGCGACCTTGCTTGATCCTCTCCTCACCAACAGGAAATTTTTGAGAAGAGCATTTTGCAAGAAGGAATTTGTCTGCATTGTACATACATACAGTTCAAATACAAAAATCTAATTTTATTCAGTTTTTTTTGTTTATTCAAGTTGTAGTATTTACAGTGCGGTATGCCTTTAATTTGTGTGTACCTATAGTTAAAAAATTAAATATTTTACAGATAGATGAGTGACTCGTCAGAACCATAATAAATTACTAAAATTAGGAAAAATACATCTATATTAGCCTGTGGAAAACAGTTTTGTTGTATGCCTAATAATAATTACATAATTTAAAAATTCGACGCTATTTGTTCTTTCTTTATTAAAATATGATATTGATATTTAACTACATTGCATATAAAATATTGGTTATTCTTAAATAAAAATATGGGTACTATATTCACTTTCCAAGGATAATTTTCCTAGAGGCACCAAAGTTTTGTCCAGCTTGAGTGGCGCCTTTGTTGGATCCAGCCTGGAGACCAATCATACCTTCACCGGCTCTCAATTGACTTTCTGAGAAATCGCGTTTGTTTTCTTCTGATGGTCTGGGACCTGAAAGAAACAATTCTTATCAATTCACCACTATATTAAACAGGGTGATTTACGTAGCTGGTGCTTGGTGGATTAGATGCTATTTCTTCTAATCTATCTGCAAACTGGAAACCTTCTAATTAATGCACGGGCTACGTAAATCGCAGGGTGTATAATATTGCGTTTTACTGACCTAAGAATGGTCCTCTCCATTCGGGATGTTTATAGCAAGTGCGACCAATAGCAAAAATGGTGGTGGTTACTAGAGCAATGTTCTTTTGGTCCCACAAGTCAGTGGTCTGGAAAAGGTCCACATCGGGCACTCCATATTTGACGCAAGCTTTCTGAAATCTAATTTTAAGTTGAGTAGGTATTTATTTTTTGTCACTCTGACTGTATTGATGGCAATGATCAGAAAGTGTTGAAACAAAAGCGTCAGTGATGTTTATGACAATGTGGATGTAAATAAATAAACATTACATTAATACAATCAGACTTAAAATCAAAATAATATAAAAGAGATAATTCCTTCGTAGGTTTATAAGAGATTATATAATGTTGAAAAGCTATAAGAACAGACAAGAAAAAAGTAAAGGCAGTAGAATTAAGTAGAAGCGAATTTGAAGAAGATCGCGAGTCTTACAGACCTTTGGTTCAATGGAATTAAATTTGACACAATAAAAATTTGCCAATTACAAAAAAAAATGGCAAATATTTCATTTCCGGACCAGGAGGCATCTTTGAAAGAGATTTTTGCATGAACTCAGCTTGTTCAGAAATGTATAAATAACTCAGAGATTCCTGAAGAACTATGTAAACTTCACCGTTTTAATTCAATAAAACAACCACTTCATAATGCAAAAGAATGTTATGTATAGGTAACACTAATTTGAGTTTTTCAGCCCTTCTGAAACGTTATACTCCACGTGTCAAGCTCGTTTTCTTTCTTTTCCGTCCGTGACGCATCCCTTACTTCTCATCACCCTGGCGTGGAGCAAAATGGCGACGATAAGCCCAAGACTCACTAATGATGGCGTGTTATTTAAATATAAGTGAGCATTCACACCAAAGTAGCATGCGACGTGCCACTTGTTGCTAAAAAGCAGGAAGCACGTCGTGCTACTTTGGTGTGTGAATGCTGTAAGTGCTTTGTGTGTGCGCCTTGCGAATACGTCGCAAACTATCAAAATATATGACATGTTCCAATTCTGAGTCGCATGTTGCCACGTCGCATTTTTGCTACGCTACTCTGGTGTGAAACCATCCATAATATTTCTAAACTAAGTAGCATATGCTTCTTGCTTTCTAGCAGCAAGTCGCACGTCGCATGCTACTTTGGTGTGAATACTCACTCAAACTTCCTACTTCCTACATCTCAATCAGGAAAATGTATATGAAATGACTGTGACAAATCTATAGACATCCCAGTTGCTAGCACACTAGCAGAATATATGGAAGATGGAAGACAGGGCAGAGATCTACAGTCATGAAATGATATGGAAAACGTTAGAAAGAAACAAATGTTTGTAGATGTTTGACGAATGTAAGGGGTAATATATAGCAAGGTTGTCTTGCCAAAACTAAAATTTACTAAGAGCAAGCCTACTTGAGGCTTAGAAAGGAAGATAAAGTGCCATGGGCATTCCATGATTTTTTTTTTTAAATAATATCGGTCAAATGACTCCCACGACTTTATTCACAATAGCGAATTCGATCAGTCTAATTTATCATTACGTTTTCACACATTTGGGTCGCGGTATCTGAGGAATAACCGCTCTCACATTTCTTACACGATTTGTTCTTGAATTATCCAGCAATGTTTTTGTTTAGTCACTGGGTGGATCATGGGGGTACCATAAAGTACACTTAAGCCGCGCCAATTGCCATCATAGAGCTCTGGGTTTGATAATAAAATTTAATAATTTCGCAATGTTGCTGTGGTGTTTAAGGTTCCACGGTTCCACTTTGTTTTGTGATAAACTAATCTAAAAAACTACCAAATAATTTTTTTTTCACATGTACAGTGTTGCCTTTATTTCACTCCAAAATCCTTTTAAGCTCTAATTGGATCACTCTTTATATCTGTGACTGTTTCTTACTTTTTTGTACCTAGGTATAGGTACTTCATTTTTTTTTTTATCTTTTTATTTCAATCTAGTTTAAATAGATCTTATACAATAATTTGTTTGCTTGCTTAGAGTTGTCATCTCAATGTTTCTATATGCATTGAATTTTTTTCTTTGTTGATCCATGTACCATTGGAGCATGGTTCTATAGTTGTAGTAACATCATCGTCATCGTCATTGGCATTTAGCCGCTCAATAGTATTTTAATCTGTAGTCTACTTATGATGATGAAATAAATAAAAATAATATGTGAAAATAATCAAGGTGATACACGGTGAAAGGTCATAATAGAAGATGCCAGATTTTTAACTACAACCTGGAAATCACAGGGCAGTAGCAAAGAAGAGAAAAAGGAGTAGATAACGATTATATCCGAGAAAAAAAGACAATATTGGAAGAAGATTGAGCATCGGAGATGATGCCAAAAATATACATATATTATTTCTGCTTTAAACAGCTAAATTATTTTTAATAATGAGTGTCTAGCGGCAGAGTCATCGACTTGACTCATTTCATAAATTGGCTGCCAAAGTACCCACTCGATAATTAAGTATTATTTTAATGATTGAGTTCTGACAAATTTTATCACTAATCACTATTAAGGCTCAGACGAAAGTAAAGTGCATGCATGGCTTTTCTAGAAAAGAGTAATACCATCTATAGAATACTTACTGGCTAAGATTGTCCATCATCTTATAGTCGCCACCTGAAATATTGACTTTTGGGATGATTCCAGGAGCTAATCTGTTCATCAACTTGCAAAGGATAATTCCATCTCTAAGCGCTATTTCATAGGGCAAAGATGGGAACCTTTCGCCGATAACCGATTCGATCCATGCTTGGGCTTCTCTTTCTTGGTCAAGGTCGCGTTTACCAGCAACCTTTGAAATAGAAAATACAGAAAAATTAGCAAATCATATGATGATGAATAGATAATAAATATACATGTAATATCTTTTAATAATCATTATAAACCTAATTTACGGTTCTAAAACGAGTACGAAATGCGGTGTTATTGGGAGGTTTTGCAATTCGAAGGCGCTCCGAGAAGCGAAATCGTGATTTTCGTATTTATTTATATTCTGAGATTACGTTACAACATATTGCAGACAGAAAACATCGATATACTTAAAATGTGTGCCAAAAAGTATTGATTTATAAATCGCCCACATCAATGTTTGTTATTGTATACCAAAATCACACTACCTATATATAATTATATCTAACATAATGAAATATGAAATTATTTATTTATGCAACATTGTTGGGAAAAACTAACTAAACAAGTTATAGTTAGTAGCTAGGTATTTCTCTCATTCTCTTTTTGTTGGTTAACAACTGTGGATATTGGATATGTAGAGTTCTTACAAACATGATGTCGAGAATGTCAGCGATATTAATAGATAAAGTAGTAGGTAAATAAATATACGCGTTTTGATAGGCACAAAATATCCTACACAGTTTCGTTGTTTTCTGGAAAATTTGGAAACTGTGCATCATAACATTAGAGAATCGTTTATTTTTGGATGAAAAATCATTCTTTATGAGCACATCATTTTCTTTTATTTACAAGCAATCAATCAGCGGCCAGAATAACAATGGTGGATATTTAATGCCAAGGTGATGGAAGTTTAATGTCAGCAACTATTTTTATTGAGGTGATAGATAGAAATTATAAAATAAAAAAGTGCAATATTTTCAAAATGTTTTGCCACAAATCTTATCTTATTTTAAGCGTGATTAGTAATGAGGTTAGAACTTTCCCGAATTGTAGAGCACCCCGTAGTCATAGGCCAATATTCCTGCTACGTAAAACAGTTTCCGAGGTCCTTTGAAGTTTTTTTACAAAATTTCAACAAAGCTTCAAGCTTGATATTTAAAAGATTATTAGAGAAACTGGATTCGTTTCATGTCCTTCAATAACGCCTTTAATCCTCTCGCAAATAATCATAAATTTGAATTGATTTGTGGATAATCAACAAAACTGACGCCGGAGCTTTATAGGCAAGGCGATGTAGGGTAGGGACCAACATTTCATCAGAATAAAATAAGTTTCAACTTACTTCCGAAATTTGCCAGTCAAGATTGTAAAATTTGAACTATTAGACCTTGAGACTGTTTCTTCTTCTTTCCCTATTTGTGATTGTGATTCAATTTTGGACATATAGACCTCTCCTAATTCACGTCAACAATCCCTATCCAATATCCATTTCATCTGAGGCTATCCTCTTTTCTTGTTCAGTATTCTAATCCTAACTATGGCTCCCAATTTTGAATAAGAGTTTCTTGTAGTATGTATGTAGTCTAGTTTGATCTCGTGATTTATTTCCCAACAACCAGGACTTTTTTTATGTTATCTGAATTTATTGTAGTCCCATAGCTCTTTTTCGATGAACCTCTTCCAAGTCTGACAACCTTGTTTAATCGGAAAAGCATATTGCATGAAAACTTTGCGTTTCAAGTGATCGAAAATTTTGGGATCTCCAAGTAGGAATGCTCGCGGCATTCTAGATATTTCAACGTTCTGATTTTCTTCAAGAAACTGAACTCAAATATTTGTCTTAAAAATATATGTTCCTCGACCTTCTCCAGAGGTTTACTCTCTCGTTTATCTATTCTCATGTTTTCACCCGCCCACATAACAATGAAAGAACATTCATATTCTCAGAATATTCCCTCAAAGTGCTTTTTGGAATGTTCTTTTAGGAATGTTTAATGAATATTCTAAGATTGTTTCGATTGAAATATTCAGTTTTGAACGTTCTATTTATGTACTAGGAATTTTGCTTCTATGCACCTACCTGAAAGATTGTGCTAAGAACCTACTTTATATAAGTAACAAACTTTGAATATTGTCATACGAACTGTACCCTAAAAAATGTTCTTTCGGCTAATATCTCTATCAAGTATTAAGAATATACCTACCAAGTTGTGCTGAGAAGTTTATGTAGGTAGGTTACCATGATAAGAATATTTTCATATTGTTCACCTAATTATTACCTATTCAAAAATCATAATTTAACAATTAAACAATAATGCTCTATCTAGAACCTACTAAGAATATTATAGGTATATTCTTTTCCTTTTGCTTTGTAGGACTTCCAAGAGAGGGAGCCACGTGCTATTAAAGATCTACATATTACCTCGCGTTTGAATCACCTTGGAACCTGTTTCTCTCAGTTGGCGTACTTCGACGAGAGCATAACAAGCTCGAAACCGGAGCTTTGGTTAAATACTTGTGTTTTCCAGAGAAGTCTTAGGAGCATTATTTGGAAACGAAAATTAACATTCCAAGTATATCCTTAGAATCAACCAAGAATGTTATGTCTAGGATGCATATTGAGAATGATATATGTAGATATATTCTAAGAATATTTCAAGCATATTGGTATAATATTCTTTTGAGAACATAACTATAATGTCATAGAAACATTCTTTGAATGTGAGAATACCTATACATATCGAGCATATTTTTAGAATCAAACAAGAATATTCTTTTCAGGATGTAATGAGAATCTCATAGGTATATTCTAGGAATATCCTAATGGATTTCTCAGGAAGTTCTTGGGTATTGCAAACAGTATTTCTACAATCTTTTCTCAGAACATTCTCAGGACATTCGCAATGGTTTTGGCGAACATTCTAGGCACATTCCTCCTGAAAAAAGAACATTCTTAATACATTCTAAGGATGCTATTTTGTTATGTGGGCGTGTTCAGCTGTTCAATCATAGATTCAGTTTTTCGAATGTTGTAGCAATAAGAACAATTTCAGCGGCAAGCCTGAGCTGGTTCAGTTTTCTCCTATTGACTTCTGTATCATTATGTGTCAAAATCGACGACCTAAAAACATCTTCTGATACCAGTGTGAGGAGTCCCAGCCGATATCACGTTTCACTATTGAACTATAAGTTTTACTGTGCTGCTCCCTAATGACTCTCCGGTTTTACCCTCACAGTATTATCTTAGTTTTTTTTCATCGATTTCTACACCACCGATCTGCTTTTTTTCTTGGACATGTTCTCTTATAGTTGTGATATCTATGGTTGTGATCCATGTATTATAATGAATAAATCTTCCACTGCGATCATTTCTTGGTCCATACCTGCCAAGCCTAGTTTTAAGTTTATCATAAAAAACTAAATTTCTCTGCTACCAATATACAGGGTGGGACACGATAAACTTCCCACCCAGGTTTTCTCAGGTGTTTAATTAAAAATCCCTCGAACACGTCAATTTAGGTTTTTTGGGGGACACATTTTATTGGTATTTTCATCCCCTACCTGTCAACCCCTAAGTGGGGGTGACAGGTACCCCCAAAATTTCAAATAGAAAGAGGGGTCGAGGGATACGTCATTTGATAGCTATTTTCATTAAGATTATATCCCTAAAGTTTTAAGTTGCTACTATTTACCCTTTCGAAATGGCAGCTTGTCAAAGTTAGGAAAAATCAATGGAAAAATGCTGTGTGGTTTTTACCTGTTACCTACGTATAGGTGTGACAGGTAAAAACTAAACAGTTTAGGTTATCGAATGTAATACCACAAGAGGTTTCAGGATTACCGGATAATACTGTTACCTGTCACGAAACGTTTCTGGTAACGTGTTGAGTGTCAGGTAAAAGTATTAGGTAATCCTGAAACAGCGAGTGGTATTCAAAAAGTTATACAACGAACTAAACTTTAATACTTTAAAATTTAAAAAAAAATCTATAATAGAATTTGCTATAAATGCCACCAAGCGCGATAATCGCAAAAGGCTTATCACTTATTAAGCCTCTCGTGTCATATGGGAATAATGTACAGTGAGGTGTATAATCGAAAAAAAGCATTTATTTTAACTTTGACATGCCGCCATTTCGGCAGGGTAAATAGTAGCAACTTGAAACTTCGGGGATATAATCTTAATGAAAATAGCTAGGTACCAAATGACATATCAATCGACCCCTCTTTTCATTTGAAATTTTGGGGGTACCTGTTACCCTCACTTAGGGGTTGACGGATAGAGGGTGAAAATACCAATAAAATGTGTCCCCCAGAAAACAAAAATTGACGTGTCTGCGCGATTTTTGATTAAACACCTCCTAACACCTGAGAAACTCTGGGTAAGAAGTTTTTTGTGCCCCACCCTGTATAGATACGAAGGACCTCGCAATATTCAAATGGAAATTAGTTACCCGTGATATTTTGATGAAATTAAATTATGTTATTGGGGATGCCGTGAGCAAAATTTTTTTACCAGGGGCACAACCTTGTATATATGACAGATGAGGCGGTGTTAGCTGTCAAATCTTCCTTTATTCATCAAAATCTGCCATAGCAGCCCAAATCAAATCTTCTGTTCTAGGAAGAAGTTTTCTGATAGAGCCTTAGCCGGCAAAATTACTTCCACGCCTTTTTACCCCCCCAAGTATGACTCAACAAAAGAACATTGTATTTTTTACTATAGTACCTATACACAGTGTGTAAAAAGTCCCGGAACAGTCAATTATTTCGAAAATGGTGCACAATATAAAAAAACTTCCTGTAAGTTTAAGGTCTTAATAAAGTCTATTGAAATAGGACTTTTGTAATTATACAGGGTGGCCCAAAAAGTTGTGCTACACAAAACTTCATTGTTTTTTAATGGAATGATACTTTTTTAATTACATTTTCTAATTCCTCTAGAGATTCTAAACAACAATTATGAAATATTTCATATGGCTAAACCCATTAGTTTCAGAAATAATTTGAGTTGAAGCACATAAATACGATAAGTACGATATTACCTACATTTTGCATTGTTTCGAGTTGGTTCAAAATGTTTATAATAAAATTTATTGATGACGTTTTGTAACATTTCTTGGTTAATAGATGCACATTCTTGAATAATTCTTCTTCTCATCAATTCGTTCAGATCTGGAGGTTTTGTCACAAACACTTTATTTTTCAGATGTCCCCAAAGAAAATAATCAAGGGTCGTTAGGTCTGGTGACCATTTTGAACCAACTCGAAACAATGCAAAATGTAGGTAATATCGTACTTATCGTATTTATGTCCTTCAACTCAAATTATTTCTGAAACTAATGGGTTTAGCTATATGACATGTTTCATAATTGTTGTTTAGAATCTCTAGAGGAATTAGAAAATTTAATTAAAAAAGTATCATTCCATTTAAAAAAAATGAAGTTTTGTGTAGCACAACTTTTTGGGCCACCCTGTATAATTACATAAGTCTCATTTCAATAGATTTCAATAAGACCTTCAACTTTTATACAGAAAGTTTTTTTATATTGTGCACCATTTTCGAAATAATTGACTCTTCCAGGACTTTTTACACACTGTGTATATATACGTACATCTACAAATACTTATCAGAATTTTACTCAGAGACTCGTGATAATGTTGAAAATGTGTGGTGAGAATTTATTATTTCAGTTGTACGTACGCGGCACAAGAATGGCTGAGAATATTTAATTCGTTAATGTGGCCTACTCGGAAGCAGAACGCTTGGTCATTTTAAACGTAAGTATTTGGATTATGACTGAGATCTAGCTCCTCTTCTAATGACCCTGAGTCTTCGATTAAGGGTGCAAATAACGAGGCTGACAGTTAGTATGGCAGTCTACAAAATACAGGCGACTGGACTGCCCATTCTTTTAGTTCTCGTAACATCAGTCTATGGGAGGAAGAAATGAAAGAAAGGCATAGGGCCTGGATGGAAAGGAACGTATCTTAGAGAGATTCATTTGATAGACATGTGGATAGATGGGATGTTAAAGATACCGAACTACGAGAATAAAAAAGGCATACTCACTACTGCTAGTAATAGGGAGATGGAAAATAATAGATGCAATCAATGGATCTCAGTGCAGGTATAGATACGACAGTGTGAAGGCTTATCACGAGGAATGACTGGTTTTTGTATATAAAGCGCGTAGGTTGCAATTCAGGGAGAGTCAGTTTAAATAATAGAATTATTGTATACAGTTGAGTAAAAGTGATAAGTGAATTACGTTCAAGTCAATTAGTTCAATAATAGCTATTTATATAACAAGTACATAAAGTAAGGCTTTATTATACGAATAATTTAATGGCCGAGCGAGCTTGCGAGCGAGGCTATTAAATAATGAGTCAATAAAGCCTATTTATGTAAGCGTTATATACATTATTTTATGTACGATTGCGACTGGTTTTTGTTAAAAATTTAAAAAAATTAATGAAAAAAGTAAAATTCGCGTAGGTATACCTGTTTCACCTTGGCAGGTTGTCAGGACCTGTTTCATTTTGGTAGGTTGTCAGGACCTGTTCCACCTTGTCAGGTAGTCCAGGTAGGCAATAAAGTAGCACTTTATTTTACTAGTACAATAAAATACTACTTTATTGACGCAAAACTGTTCTATAAATAGCACTTTATAGGTCAATCGGACATAAAATATTTTGTTGTCAAAAAAGATAGTAGTGGACCCGCGGAATCTGTGACAATATCTTGAAAAATCCCATACTAAGTAGTCCTATCAGTTACTGTTCTTTTTGATAGACTTTTTGCCAACTGAATAGAAGAACAAATACGTAGGTATATTTTACTCAAAGTAGATGAATTTTGACGATTATTTTTCCCATTCCCTTGTTCAGACATGTCAACTGATAACGTAATCCAATCATCATTATTGAAGATGTTTTGAATGCCAGCTCATATGCACAGGACATGAAAACTATTTACACATTAGGATCATTGCCACGAGTCGTCCAAGCTCTTTAAATTCCCGAAGGTAATTGACAAATGAAAAGATACAACGGAAGAACTTGGATAAGCATTCTATTTGGCTTTGAAAACTGAATATTCGGAATAATTCCTAGATAAATGCTATCCAGTTTTTTGCTCTTCTATGCAAATTTTACGCATCATCATCTAAGAGAAAGAACTTTTGGAAACGCTATTCCTACATTTCTTTCATATCCAGGCTGTACACAATTTAAGTAGGCCGTGAGAAAGCAAGTAAGAAATAGTAAATATGATCATCTGATCGAACTGAACCGAACTTATAGAAGCTAATCCACATTAAGCTTGGATCAAATACTGAAGTCCCAAAGAGAGTCATGTCAAAACAGTTACCCTTCTCGAAGTGAAACCCGTTTATAAGATGCCTACATCTTTAGCCTCTGAATCTGATTCTTCGAATCCTTATTGTATCTACTGAAAAACGCCAGATTTATGTAGATGTTCTATACTCTCAACTTTTTCCTTTAGAAAGGAAATTTGTTCAGCAGCTTATGAAGCTCATCCTAGATCTGCGCTTTCAATTTCGTGTGAATGGAAATGTTTGCTCTGGATCCATGTGCCAATTGACTTTTGATTTCCTGGTTTTTTTTTTCAAATCATCGAGCGTCTTTTAGGAACTATATGCATATAATATAAACAACTTTTAATCTTTACTTGAAAAAATAGAAATGAAAAAGTGTGACAGTGTGAACACAATTTTTTTGAGGTATCTATCTACCCCCATTACTTCTCAGTTCAAAAGCAAATCTATAAATAATCATTCAAAAAGAACAACACGATAAATCTGAAAAAAAAACAGGCAGAAAGGAAACCATTAGGAAAAACTGTATACGATTCCCGCCCCCGCCAAAACTTCTCATAAAGACTAACCGACTTTAGATCGACGCCTCAGTTAGCACCGTCGCGACGTTAAAGTAAAACCTCTCTCACAAATATGTCTGTAAGTATTATAAGTATTACTTAATTTTTTTTTTTTTTAAATTTATGAACTTGCTTTAATCTCTTCACTTCCATAAAGTCATTAACAATATGTTATATAAATAAACAAAATGCAAAAGAAAGTTTAATACTTTATCCTTGCCTCGTGTTGTGACGTCAATCACAGAACACTATTTTTAAAAACTCAATCAATAGAACACCTGTAGTGTGAAGCTTTGAGATGCCAAGAAGGATTTTTTGTACCAGTTTTTGTGTTTACACAACATAATTAATATTTTAATAATGACTTACAGGTGACTCCAGAAATAGATTAAATTTATTATTAGAAATGACTCTCTTCAACACTTCTTTACTTCTTCATATACCTACAAAGTGAGTCCAGATTTTTTGAAAGATAAAATCCTTAATAAGTGCTTTTTGTGTAAAAATCTATTTGCCATTAAATTTGAGATTTCCAAAATTATACATTCGCCGTTAAAATATCGAAATTGTAATAAAAAGCTGAAGTCATCTCTAATTTTGAACCTGGAGGATTGCAAATCTGGATCGCTGCCAAAAATTTTGCAATTTACGAACGTATCTGTCTAGCTCTTTGAATTATCGTAAAAAATACTATTTTGTAACTCTGAAAAATGTATAAACAATGTATTATTTTCATATAGAAACGTAACAAGGAATTAGAAGCCGAAGTCTTAGACTGGATTTCCAAATGCCTGGGCGAACCTCTTCCAAAGGGTGAATTTGAAGACATCCTTAAAGATGGAGTCATCCTTTGTAACCTCATGAACAAACTGACTCCAGGTTCAGTTAAGAAAATCGCCACCAAAGGCACAAACTTCCAACTTATGGAAAACATTCAACGATTCCAAGCTGGCATGAAAGCTTACGGAGTGCCTCAGGAGGAAATTTTCCAAACAGCTGATTTGTTTGAGCGAAGAAACATTGCCCAAGTAAGAATTGTTGATATTTTGTAATTTTTTTCTAAAAATTTGGTCTATAGGTTGTATTGTCCCTATACTCTTTGGCACGTTTGACTCAAAAACATCCTGAATGGAAAGGTCCTAGCCTCGGCCCTAAAATGGCAGACAAGAACGAAAGGACCTTCACTGAGGAACAATTAAAGGCTAGCGAAGGTCATCTGGGTCTTCAAATGGGTTACAACAAGGGCGCTTCTCAATCTGGACACGGTGGTTTTGGTAACACTCGTCACATGTAAAGCTTGTTTTTGTTAATTTTTATTATTTATTTTTATAATTGACTATTTTAATTTATTCACTAATTTAATAAATATTTTTGTAGATATATTTGTTTGTTTGCTTTTTCGTAATAAGTTTTTCTTGTCAGCAAGTATAGCCCACCTAAACTTTTCTTGATATGGAATTACCAGTGACAATATAAAAGCGTTGTTTCTCTATTTTTGTTATGGAACGATTGTATCTATATAAAAGGATTTTGCGCAGTAGGTTTTGAAATTTATTTTGACAAAATTTGTGGTTTTTTGGCAAATCTATATTGAAATGATTTAATAATTATTTTTGAAGGGGCCAGCTCATCATAAAAGTAGATGTTTAAAACTTTTGGATACCTATTGGTTTAAGAACATAAGTCAAATCAGTTGGTTTTATTACAGCATATTATATACATCTTAAATAATTTCTTATGAGAAAAAAGAAAAATTTGTTAATATTAAATAATGCACTTATATTTCACAGATGTTTGGCAAGTCGAACGATTGCATGTTTACATTTATTAACAATGTCAAAACGCCCATTAACTAGGAAAGTGGTATTATATTACGAAAAGACAACACCAACACCATCGCAATTATTTTGGGTCTATGGTTGCTTAAAAAAGGAAAAAATTGCAATAGTGGAAGCTAAAGAAGTGTGAAGCTTAGAACGAAAATACATGCATATAATGGACTTATTAGATAAAAAAAAAATATAGGACAACCACTTTTGCCTAAGGACATTTTTTTTATCTAGACTAGAAAAATATTTCCCAATATCGAAACCAAACTAAAGACTTTGCTAAAATACAAATGCTAAGTTGAAAATTATATAAGAAAATGTTTTGTTCCTTATTTTAACGCGGTTATAAGTGTTGCAATAGTGGTTATGTGGGTCAAGAGCAAGGAACTGAAATGAGAAAATCCATCACTATAATATCGAACTTTGCTAATATGAATTTAAGCACAATAAAGTCGAATAAATTACATCTCCATTAGTTTGATTTGCCTTTTTTTATTTACGAAAACAAATATTTGATCATCAAAATATTTCACTTTAAGTAATAGTCCAGGAGGTGACGCCAAAAACATGCAAGAGTTTTCGCAAGGCGGATATTTTCAAAATAGGTCGTACTTTAGTGCTAGAATGCTAGTGTACAGTCAGCACTCACAGTTCCGGGACAGCTGGCTCTGGGACGCGGGCAAAGTTGTAATTTTAAGAAGCATTTAAACTGTTTTCTCAAAGCTCAAAATTTATAGAAATTTTGCACATTATCTGTTTGAAGGTCACAGATAACGTATGTAAATCGTCAGACGTCTAGTTCGTTGCAAAAAGGGGGTGAGACGTCCTCAAAGTTTTTATTTTATGGCATTTTCTTCGGTGTCCTGTCAAAATATATTTTTGCAGGTATTTGACAAATATATTTGAAGTAAATGCCATAAAATAAAGACTTTGAGGACGTCTGACCCCCTTTTTGCAACGAACTAGACGTCTGACGATTTACATACGTTATCTGTGACCTTCAAACAGATAATGTGCAAAATTTCTATAAATTTTGACCTTTGAGAAAACAGTTTAGATGCTTCTTAAAATTACAACTTTGCCCGCGTCCCAGAGCCAGCTGTCCCGGAACTGTGAGTGCTGACTGTACACTAGCATTCTAGCACTAAAGTACGACTTATTTTGAAAATATCCGCCTTGCGAAAACTCTTGCATGTTTTTGACGCCAGCTCCCCAACTATAAAGAGTTTCGGCACCTCTCGAACTACTTTTGATGACCTATTCATCAATTTTAATGAATAAACAATGATAAAACGGAACACGCTTATATGTATGTATCTAATTTTATTCCGATTTACATTATAAAGCTTGTCCTTCGTAATAAAGGCCATCAATCGTCAATGTTTCTCAAAAATGTTTTTGGGTTTCATTAGAAAACTTAGCGCAACTTTCACGGTCGAAAGGATTAAGTTTTGAAATGATCTTTCAACTACATAATGTCATTAAAATGTACACCATCAACATTATTATCTAAAAAATACTTATGTATTTTCGGGGATAATACCACGAGAGCTTCAAAATTACCGATAATTTTTCACGATTGCGTGTTTTCTATAATTTCACGAGTCCGTAGGACGAGTGAAATTTGCAGAGAAAACACACACTGGCTAATTTTAAAGCTCAAGTGGTATTTAGAGGATTATTTCACGTATGAGAATGCAAAAAATATGGAAATAGATATGTATTAAACGATTTGAACATCTTAACAATCAATACAAATAAATGGTTGCTATCAGGAACCGTTTGTGTGTATCAAAAATTAGCATGACAACCATGTATACAATAACATGGGAGAATTTTCGCTGTAATTCTCTCTAGTTAAACAAATGGAAAAGAGAATTTTCGCTGTAATTCTGAAAATCGTCACTTGTGATATGGGATTTCTAACACATGAGTGGAATAATCATAGTAAGATATTCTTCGAGACGCCATCTTAGATTGGTGACTTTTGGTGTTACGTCCTCTAATCTGAATCTCACTCCTACCCAAGTGTTTCTCTTTTTGTCGCAGACTCCGCTGTTTGGTTGCTTTTATCATATTCATCTTCTGGCCCATTTCTTCCAATACTCTTGCCAACTTACTCATCAACTGTTACTCTTCAAAACTATTGGAAAATAGTACGATGTTGTCGGCAACTTCGGATACGAATAAGTACATCAGAAATGTATAAAATACGATGAAATCTGTATGCTCCCACATTTTTTTTTTTTTTTGAAAAGATGCAATAGAGACAGAATGACAAAAAATAAATTGACTATTTTGTGCTGTGTGTGTCGAAGTAGATACATCTTTGAAGATGTATCCATGTAGATCGGATGATCCAGTTACCACACGCAGTGATCATAGAGTTCAAAGAGAGAGCTAAAATCAAAATTGCCGGGTCAAATTTGAATCGAAAAACTTGTTCGATGAAAAGGTGAAACTTGACCCACCAAGTGCGTGAAGAAGAATCTCGAAGCTTACCAGAAAAGGGCACGAAACAAGGAGTAAGAGGTAGATGATTGATTGGGAAAACAAACAAATCTTAGAAGAAGAAAGAAATGTATCAAAAGGGAAATATAAAAAGGAGGATGCGGGATGAGCGCTATTACAATGAAAGTGAGAAGTATTTCAAGCGATGAGAAACGGAAATACAAAGGGATATAAAAAAATCAATGAATTAATACAATTACCTCTCTACGAGAACAAAAAATAAAAATAACGAAGCAATAATAGGAAGAGTCATATAGAAGAAGAACAAGAACTAAATCGTTTCAGCTGTGGAAAGACTCTATCGTGATTCAAATCAAATCCTAATCACCAGGAATAGCGACAGCTACTTCTGGAAGAAGAAAAAAAATACTATCCTTATATCAACACTGTAGATACTTAGATTGCTGAGAGAAATGGAATAATAACCTCGCAGATCTACTCTTCAAAAAAGAAGATAGTACCTGACATCAGAGAGAGACTACTGTTTCATCTCGTATGAGGAAAACCACCTATTTAAAATATTATTTTTTTGAATTTTAACTTAAAAAAAAAACGTTTACGGAATAAAAGTAAATGTTGCAACCATCTATGCGCCGTTAAGTTTAGAATTGAGCGGGGCGCGCCACAGAAAACGAAGGTACCTGAAAGGGAAAGGGGATACAAGGGAATACGCAACTACAGAACTAGAGAACAAGCTGGGCTGGTCCTTAGACGCGTGTCTGTAATTATTCATTATTCAATTTTTATTTTTATTTTGCATTAAACTGATTGTTCAATCCAATTTGTTATTATAGTGTGTGTTTCAAGGAGCGATCACAGGTTAGTTGAATGATTGTTATTTTGTTTTTGAGAGTTCAATTATTTATACAAGTATCATTTTTTAAATTTTTATGTTTTTTTGTTTGTTTATAACATTTGCATTTTTCATGTATTTAACAAAAATCGTTTCATGCTGTAAATTAAAACCTAGAAAAATTATGTGCTGTCTGTGCTAGGATTTCGGTTTTTGGATTTAGAGCGTGCATTAGGGCCTTGTTGAATTTACTAACATTTTCCTACCCTGACGAGAGAATATCCTGACAAATTGAAATAATCAATCTAGAGATATTGGCTCAAAAACAACTATAGCTGAGTAGCTTTTCCCGTATGGGACCTCAGTACCTGCTGGGAAACTGGCTAACTAACAAAAAAAACTCTTCAGTATTGAATATAGGTAGTGTTGATTGAATGTAGTGTATAGATAACACAAAATAAAAAACCAAACTATAGTTAAGTTCAAAGGTATGTAATCCATACCTAAATAAAAATAGTTATTTTCCTAACACGTGCGCAAAGTGATAGGTACTTTCCCGCACGAAAAAGCAGTTGGACTAACGACGAGAAGCGGAATTCAGATAAGCTTTCAGTGTTCGTGTTAGGAACAATACTTTTTCTACGAGTCACCAGATCCATAAACTGGTAATTTTCTCTCTTATTTCAATGTGTGTAATTGAAATTTTAGCACAAGAACAGGGACGGTACCTAATTTAAACTTTTATTGACTTAAATTATTGAATTATTAACTCACAATTATTATTAAAATGACACAGTATGTTTCGATTTTTGAGCAATGTGAGATCGCGGGTTTCTCTGCCGTGCTCTTTCCCCTCGTTAGTTCCTGGATGAAAACGGTACGATTTACTTTAATAATAAAGTAGACGGTTCACAAATTTTTCGTTTCTTTTACATATCACAGCTTCCCTTAAATTTCCCAAATATTTGCTATGTCGGGCGCATGTCCAGTAAATAAAATTGAGTAAGTCTCCACAACGTAGGTCCTATTTGTTTTGCATTTCGTTTTTCAGAAGATTTGTTGTTCAAAAGGTAATAAAAATTCTCACCGTTCAACTTACTGAACGAACCCGGGCACGTTAATATTCCAAATATACAAGTAGTTCAAGAAAATTATTGCCAACTGTCTATCACGTCAAATGAACAGCTACCAATCCCTTGAACAGGCTGCGTTCTGCCTTGGTTTAAGTACCTACTTCCGATCCTTCGCA